CTCCTATTGTGTCTCATCAAAGAGCTGATGAGGGGGGAGTGGAATGCACTGAAAGAGCAAACAGGCACTGGAGCCACTGACAAAAAATTAAAGCAAAATAGTAAATCTATGGAAATAGTCTGCTTGTGGAATGGACTACTTCATGTCAAATTCAGATCTGAGGCAGACAGAGTTCTTCTGGAGCAGCACCTAGAGGTAGCGGTGACCTGATTCACCATCAGTTTATGGGAAGCTGTGCATTAACTTCAGAGGATTCTGATCGGACGGGAAAGCATCCGAAGTCTCAGGGCGACCCTGGTGTATCTCCCTCTCACTTAGAGTATTTGTATCACATACTCTCCTCCTCCAGCTCTAAGGCACTAGACTTGATGCTGCTTGGTATGTTTAGGTTTCTAACACCAGAATTAATTTATAAGAACAGATGAGTATTTGTGACCACACATCTGGTAGTAAACTTGTTTTGAGGGTCAGTGTCTTGTGGAGTAGTCACAAAGCCAAGAAGATAATACTATTAATTTTCAGGCTCTGGTTTAAGCCATAAATTACTGATGCTTTATTTTACTTCCTACCTTAAATATACTTGAAAATTTGTCACGACTCCTCCTAAGTAACCACCTGCAGTGACTAATTTTTCAAGGAAAATTTCTTTTGCATTGTTGGTGCAGTAACCTTATAGTACTGATGGCCTTATACAGGAGCAGTCTTTTGTTTTAATGACTTCAAAAATCTGTTAAGATCCTTTACCCAAGACTTTTATGAGCAAGTAGCTCTCTGCTCTGGGAATGTCATCTCCATTACTAACTGAAAAAAGTAATGCTTATGTGTCCCACACTAACACTGAAACATAATCAAATAAGGAATACTGGTTAGATATTAGACACTGAGCACAGTAAGAGAGACACACTGAATCTTCAGTAATTGTCAGAAGAACATAGCTTATTGAAAACAGATCCTGTTTCACAGGAACACAAAATTCTGGTTTATAATTTAGCACTAAAGAGGAAGAGGAAACGCAGCCTAAGGTACGTTCCACTGATAAGGCACCCTACGTTCTTACAGCTTGTAAAGGCATTACACTGAAAGAAACACATTTTGTATGCTCATGCAGTACCTTCAACCATACAAACATACGATCAACTGCCATTCATGTTGCATTATCGGTATCCTACTTACCAGTGCCTAAAAGGTGACTGTACGTTAGATTGAAAAAAACTCCCTTAATTTGTGATTTTCTAGTTGTGCATCCCGACTTATCAAGTGGGGGCAACTTGTACCCCACCCATTACAAGACTCCTCTGCAATGTATTTGCCCAGATCAGTGCACTCAAACTCCTACAGAAATTATCCAACAGCGTGAGCTGGCTTGGAAAAAAAAGTCTGCCTTGCTGTGAAAGATGACATTACCCCACCAGAACTATCACCCTCATGGCTTTCTTTTTTTTTTTATTTACTTTTTAATGGAAGCAAAAACCCCTGTCATCTCACCTACTCCTCTTTTAATAAGGAATGACTGCCGTGACTACCCCCATCTAGAACCACCATTCACTGCCAGCACCTCTGCTCTCCTCGTGTGCTTAGAGAACAACTGATTAGCACTTTGCATAATTAACCTGATTAGCACTGTGCATAATCAAACTGATTAGCACTTTGCATAATTAAAAAGAAATAATAATAATAACAATAATAAGCAGTAGGTAATAGCAAAAGCTGCTAGTCCCAATGCCTGTTCGTTAGCTCTAGGATTAGTTTAGTGCGGCATATTTTATTTCTTAAAACTATTTTTTTAAAGATGCACAAGCTCCTGAGAAATACAAATTAAAAACTTCTCATTTAATTCAAGATCACTAGTGAAAATATTGGTTGTTCCACTCTTACAGCTTAGGATTTCTTGTGCCTCCCTCTGCTGCAGCTGAAGACATTTAACAGGACGACACCTGACCAGAAGGACCACTGGTCTGATTCCCACATCTGTCCACAGTACTGCTTTTGGATTCATTATCACAGGATACAGAAGCCTCACAACCTTTAATGCATATATCCTCGCAATGTACTTCAAGGGTAGGAAAGCTGTGTTATCGTTATTGTCAAGATGGGCAAGGTAGCAAGATGCATATCCTCAAAAGTACGTAGGCACTGAATTCTCTCCTGCCCTGAACAATTACTCCAGACCACAGGAAGCCGGGAGAGGAACATGGAATTAATCAGATTCCTGCCCCTAAGCCTGCATCACTCTTCCCCCACTTGAGCGTCATTCTTGTCTGCATGTATGTTTTGCATCCTGCTCAAGAATGTGAGAGAGAAGGTACTTCCTTTGGCTACTAGCCTGTCCCATCTCCAGTGTAAACCTCCCAATTATAGGGTTTCAGGATTAACAGCCACCTCCCAAAATCTGAAGAACCTGTGTAGCTACACCTAGCTAGATTGCAAACTGTGTGAAAATATCAATGTTAAATGTCTGCATCACTAGTGACTCAGTTCTCCGAGGACATTCAACGCCAGGCAGCCTGGAAGAGCAGTGCCTCAAGTGAGTGGGTACACCACTAACATTTTCTGTTTACTAATGTGGCCTCATCCCTCCTAGTCACCACTGTACCCTGTATTTCTCCTCACTTTATTAACCTCATCTCTCTCTAGCATCCTCATATTATAGCTCAGATTTTCCTTGCATTCCCCACAGAACAATCTTCACCTTACATCTTCTATTATACCTTCAGGAGCACCTGAAATATTCACTGCCAACCCTCCACCATCTCCCTTGCAATGATCCTGCCTACATTTCCCACTGGGTAGCAGACACACATTATGGCTTCTCTGCTGACTGCTCAGCCGGTGTGGTTGGGACACTGGGCAACTGGGGAGTCAGTTCGTCCTGAGTGACCGGTCTGCCTGCCCTGCAGCTGTGCAGACAGAAATTGCTGCCTCCGGACTGCATGCGGCCCAGATGCAGCACACTGCATGGACCTGTCCTAGAACAATGACAAAAATATTCCCACTGTGCTAGAGTTTCTCTCATAAATGCTCCCTCATAAAATAAGCCAATAAGAAACTGTGGGGGGGAAAGAGCAATAAAAGAGAATCTTATCGTAATTAACTGGAAATGTACTACCCACGCACAGAGGCCTCTCCATCACCCCAAGCAAAAGAACCCATACGAACAGCAAAGGGTGAAATGAGTGACTAGCTCTGCACAAGTTGTTTAGTTTCAGAAGAAAACTGTTGCTGTAGAGATTTTTTCAAGTCCAAATGTTCCTGGGGAAGGTAGTTCCAGTAATTCTGGGAAGGAAGCCAATCCCTTGGCTTTATATGTAAATATTTAAACAACATTATTTTTATATACATATATTTTATACACATATACATATATGTCTTTAGACTTCCAGACTTGCAAAACTGCAACGGAAAAAATATGCCAGTCGATGTACAGCTATCGGCTCACCTGCCTGAACCATGATAACTGACCGTCAGAAACAAAATACAACAATGACTTCAAAATAATTGAGGCATATCATCTATGTATACTAATCCACCCAAACAGAAGAGCTGAAAGAGCGGGACTACAGATTCTAAAGTAGAGAGATTAAAGTCTTAAATTTTATCTCCTTAGAAGTGGCAAGAACATAAGGTTCATCAATTTTAAATCTTTCAGAGCCTAGACGGATGCCGAGTGCTCCATCCACAGGTGTGGAATCTCCAGCTTTGGACGACACAAAGCTTCGCATTCCTAGCATCTTAGCGCTCCGACACCTGACAGTAAAGCTGTGACTTCACCGTGTTTAGAAAGGTCACTGCTGCTTCAGGCTTAAATCAGGTACATACCTCAAAAGGGATTACTTGGTAGAAAATGCAAGCAAAAGAATGGAAACATATCTGGCACTGAGATTTAGTGAATAAATAAAATAGGAAAGAAAAAAAAGCTTTAAAATTGTTGAGGAGGGGGTTAATAAAATGGAGGAAGATGATTTAGTGAGCAGAAGGTATCTAGTCAGAGCGTATGATGAATAAATCAATCCATGAAAATAAAATTTACCACATGGATTCCCACTGTATATACTCAGTAAGCAAAAAACACACCCTAATACAAGGTACGTGTGTGTAAATTCATAGCTATATGATTTAAAGAAATCAAATATTTATGAATACAATATTTACATGTCTGTTCAAGTATGTACATATAGCACAGCCACTGTGAGTTTTAAGAAAAGATCACAGAAGTGTACGTACATATACATAAAAAAACGTGCAGAAAAAAGGACCAAGAGTAGGGCAAGTCTTTTAGAAAATATTTTAATGGCTTTATAAAAAGCCCTCACCCAAAGTTTGAGGGGGTTTTGCAATCTTACATTTTTCTATTGCAAAATACACCTGCTTTCTTTTATTTCTTTTCCCCCCCCCAAACTAAATATTTCTTCCATCTAATGACTCTCTTTATTAGACAGCATCTAATTTGCATACATTTACATACAATTTAACTGCTAGCTTGTGAGAACAAAGAAATGGCTCTGTATTGTACTGAAGGACAATACTCAGAAAAGGAAGGTATAAAAACCAGCTAGCTCGGTGCCTGTGTATTCTCTTTGTTTCAAAAATACCAGGATTTTTAAACACACCACTTAAAGGGTGAAAAAGATTATTTCATCAAACAATGAAAAAAGATACAGTGCAGCTCCCTTTTAACACATTCTCTCTCTGGCCTGGTTAATGGGATTTAAGGGTCCAAGATTTCTTTGCTTTCTTCTGTTTCCTTTATTAGAACTGATGGATTTAATTCTGTCACATATTTTACTTCATATTTTATTCCTATAACAATCTATGCTGAAGTTCAGCTCCAATGCTAATTCAATACTATCTTCCTTTCCTTGCAGTCAGCCTGGAATACAACTGAATGATCTTTGACGGGCATGAAGTACTCTGCCCTCAATGCCCAGTGCTAATGCATTTTAGAGAGAGTCTGCCAGAATTTTACTTTGTGGCAACAAGTCCAGAGATAATGAAAACTTACCATGTAGCTGACTGGGAATCAACAGGAAGGGAAGCAGGGCTGAGCTCCGCTTGTGAGAACAGGGAGGGACCGTGGTCAGAGTAAACGCAGGATGTAAAGGATGTGTCAAGCCCTCTAGTTCCCTAAAAGAAGAGAAGAAAATGATCTTTAAGATCTCACACAAAGCAAAAACCTTTAGAAACAGTTCGCAAAAACTCCAATACAGGCCCTACCAAAAGCATGATACAGCAGCAAAGGGGTTTTCTCCAAAGGCTTTGCAGTGGGAGTACCAATTGCAGAGGACAGCTGCAAATCTAATCCATGTGGACTTGACATAAAAATCTCGCAGGGAAAAAAAGCATGATTTCAGGCTGCATGCTGCACACCTCCATGTCCCCTCAAACGTGTGAAACCCAGTGAAGCAGAACGGTCTGCCATTTGTTACTGCCTGCATAGCGTTGCTGCTAGCTTCACTTCCAAACTCTCCCACTCCCAGCATCATACTCAATGACTTGTGCTCAGTGGGGCAGACCAAGTAATGCCTATTTTTGAAAAAGTAAAGTACCAACATTCAGTGGCTCAGGAATGGGGGAAAGAAGGCCCAAACACTCTAGCAGCATGTTATAAGGGCCTGTCCTACAGAAACATAACATGTGAAACCTTTTCTAGTGTAAGCAGACCTATTGCAACCTAATAGAACAAGAGTATACATAGTAAAAATCATTAGGCCAAGTTAGCTTGTGTACAAAGCAGGTATAGTATTCAGGATCCAGCAGTGACCTGCTCCATTCAGTTTGCCCCAGCCAGCCACGTGGCATGTGGTACACTGGCTTCATATGATCAGCAGAAGGCCAAGGGTTAATTTGATGGGCATTCACACACCAGCATGTATGGCACAGTAACACTGGGACAGAAGATACAGGAGCCACATCAGAAGCTGTACATGGAAGAAAATTGCGCTGATACTGCCCTGACATGCCTCACTGGCACTCAAAATACATTATAGATTATTTTCAGACACAAATTTTAATTTAAAGCTGGCTGAAATGTTAATGAAGTTTTGGCTCTTTTTCAAAGGGGAAAATTCCCTACTGCTTACAAAAATTTTTTTTCCCCCACCTGATTTGCTTCTAATGACATATAGCAACCAAACCTCATAAAAGAAATTAATCAAGCCTTCATATCATTTTTGCTTTTCAAAGATGGAAAGGTTGAGGTGTGTGATCTTCAGAGTTTCTGACGCATACCAAAACACAGGTTTTAGCAAACAGTGGAAAAAGTAAATTCCAAAGCCAAAGTTCCTTTAACTATCACATTCTATGCTCACAGCTCTGTCTTGCTGAAACTATGGGTTATTATTTTCAGAACCTTAAGAGCGTGGCTGCACTATGATGTAAGCTGATTTTAATTGGAGCTGCCACAGTCCCACCCTTCCCTCACCTCTTTTCTCTCCTGGCCACATGTCCCTGAGCCCATCCTTGAGCCAGGACTGGATAACTGGTTTTATTCAGCTGAATGAAAAACCTCTTTTCCACATGTTCTCAGCCAAATCAACCCCCAGTCGCAGCTCAACATCAAGGCATGAAACTCGGGGGTTAGAGCTAAGGAGGCAGAACTGTACAAATGAAGGGACAGCAACAAAGCGGCCTCAATGTCGATCACTTTAAGCTGCTGCGGACCTACGTCTTGAGATGTTTAGGGCTGCTTTGGTATATGACATGGAAGAAAGGCTCCTATCACATAGCTGGAAGCCAAACTAATCATGGTGTTGTGGTTTAACCCGGCAGGCAGCTAAACACCACACAGCTGTTCACTCACTCCCCCCCAGTGGGATGGTGGAGAGAATTGGAGGGAGGGCGGGGGGAAAGTAAAACTTGTGGGTTGAGATAAAGACGATTTAACAGGACAGAAAAGAAAGGGAAAATAATAATAATGATAAAAGAATGTACAAAATAAGTGATGCACAATGCAATTGCTCATGACCCGCTGACCGATGCCCAGCCAGTTCCTGAGCAGCGGACCCCCAGCCAGCTTTTCCCCTAGTTTATATACTGAGCATGACATCATATGGTGTGGGATATCCCTCTGGTCAGTTGGGGTCAGCTGTCCCAGCTGTGTCCCCTCCCAACTTCTTGTGCACCTCCAGCCTACTCGCTGGTGGGGTGGTGCAAGAAGCAGAAAAGGCCTTGATTCTGTGTAAGCACTGCTCAGCAGTAACTAAAACATCAGTGTGTTATCAACATTATTCTCATACTAAATCCAAAACACAGCACTGTACCAGCTACTAGGAATAAA